CAGGGGTCTGCTGGTGCCTATCTCCATTATTCAATTTTAGGTTATTCAATTGACTGGATGCATGTTTTTGGGATTGTGAGGGAAACCCACATAGGGAGAACATGTAAACTCTTTCTTGGCAAGCCTCGGACCAGCAACCTTCTTACTGGAATACTACAGTGCCACACAGATCTGGCAGAATTTTTTCCTGCACAAACTTATGTATCAACCACAAGTCTAATTATCATGCTTATGTTTTTGTGAAATGTCTGATGTTTTTTTTATACCTTATATAACTATTTCACAATTTCCTTCCCCTTATGGGTTGAAATGGTGCTGTGCTCGATGATGTGAAACCCCCTACATTCAGTAGTTTGTCGTTTAATTGTAATCATCTGGCAATGTAGTTATCACATGTTTTCGAGATTGTTTTCAGTGATCAAAACAGCCCTGAAACACAATGCCATCAATGAGTTGAATATTGAATCTCTGTGATGGAACACAATGTAGTTTCAGATGTCAAGCTAGACCTTTGGAACTACATATCACTTCAACTGAGAAATAGAGGCAAACATTATATTGTGAAATATAAAAGGACTAACATAATGGTCTAACATAATTATTCGTTGTCCTTTGATTACATTAGGGGTGATTAAAACCATTTATGTTCGTTATAAAAGTAAAGCTCTTGAGTTTTTGTTAAAGTCATAAAAAAACTAAATGAAAATATACTAAAACATAAAATATAATACTTGTCTATCCCAAGAGCCTTGCAAAGCTTTCTACATAGACGATACACTTTGTTTGCCTTATTGTCTTATCCCATAACCTGTTAATTGGAAGGGATAGTTGTAATACAGTAATGTACAAAAAGCCCCATTAAATCTAATGGCAACCCTGCCTTTGATTAAAAACATCATCATTGTTTCTACTAATGGACTCATGTGATAAGATAGATAATGTATTAGATGAGACCCATTAACCAGGAAAATAAACCTAAATCTTCACCAGAAGGCATTTTTACGATTATATTTTTTCAATGTCTCAAAACGCTGGTGTTTTGCAATAACAAGCGGCTGGATACAACAGTTTGCAGATACTGATGTCCTCTTGTACTCCTCTCCAACTGATTTCCATTTTTACAACCTGCAGAACTTGATGGTGCGCTAAAGGTTTGCTTGCGGCAAACATTGTCGTAAAATAAGAGTTGATATCATTATGGCATGACACATTTATGACATTGGAATCCAGAGATATTGCTTGTTTGTGATGCACCTAGAATCCAAAACAGAGCAGAAAAGGAATGATTGTAATACTTCAATGTATTATAGCAGTTGTAAAACATGTAAAAAGTACAACACATGATTATATTTACATATAGGAACAAATTTACCTTACAACAATTTTACATTCAGACAAGATAAGGATCAAATGGAATGTTTCCATCCAAAAATGTGAATTAAATTTATTCAGAAAAACTAGAATATTGCATGCAATATTTGCAAACAAAGCCCTGTTTCCAACCGACAAGTAGAGATTAAAATTGTCACTTCCTGATAAACTGGTGGGAAATATCAAGACACATGGAAGTTTCTGTGTTAAGAGAAGCCCTTTTTATTATATTTACTCTGCTGCGTTTATTGAGGCGTAAGATGCCACCGGTTAAAATAGTTCTGGGAGGTGATAACCCTGAACCACTTTGATGACAGACTCTAAGGAATCTAAGACTCTAAGGACATGACTCAATGCGCCCCTGTTGCAATTTCATTGGTAAATGCCTTTCCATCGTAGTTTATGTGCATTTTTCTTATCAAATAATGGTTTATCCTACTCAGTCCGCAATCAATCACCACTCCAACAACATTCCAACCAAGGAGCCACCATCCAATCTCAGCCATCGTCCAATCGCTCTCAACTCCTTGATAGACTCCTTAAGATCTATTTACTTGAGTGGGATTGTATGCGCCAATACGAAAGTGGAAGTTTCTCCTTACAACGGTGCGATTCCAGCTTCCGCTTTGATGGAAAGTTTGGAGGAATTTTGACATGAGATATCATTGAGATAAGGTCCATGAGGTTTTTGGATCGCTCAATATGAAGAAAATGTACCTTTTTAGAATTGCTTTAAAGTAGATCAGAGAGATTTCCGTTATAATGTAGACAAGTTGTATATAGAGTTTTTTGTTTTTGTATTATTCCATGGTCTGTCTGAATGCTCGACTCTGATTGGCTGGAAGGTGCTGATTAATTTAGAATAACCACACAGGTCATCTGGGTCAGTTTATTCCAGTTGTTTTGCCACCTTTGTGCTGAGAAATTGGACTGAATTTGGACATATGCGGCATCTCTAATTGGTCGCTAAGAGTCAGTATCCGAGCTCAACAACAACGGATATCTCCCAAACGCGGGAGGGAATAAAAAGCATTCTGACATAGCATCAAACACTTAGACCCAACAGTATCAGCTGCTTCATATTAATAAACCATTTTTAAAACGAAATATCTATAGTTTTGAACATAAAAGTCGATTTTGTCACACGATTAGCATGAACATTGTTTTCCTACATGTTCTAGCTATATGCTAATAACAAAATTACATGATGTAAATGAATTATATCAGACGCACAGTAGTTTTTAAAACTGTAAAATTATGGGCTATAGTAAACAGTGGCTGTAACAGTGAAGGACATCCATATCCCACAATTAAAGAATCCACAGCAGTTTTTTTGTGTTTTGTCCATTGTGAATGGAACTTTAATTCCATTAATTTATTACAGCCATGGCATAAACAGGGATATTCAACACTCAGTCGTGCGTAATAAATTTCTAATGCACTTCGCGCGTCGGGTGGTTTTTCGCCCTCGCCGCCCCCTTGCTTCATGCATTATAAATATATAATACACGGCTGAGTGATGAACATCCCTTATGTGACACTGTTTTGCCGGTGGGCTCATAACGAATGTAACCGTGTGCAAAGCAATTGTGCATGGTTCATGAGTAGTGTGACCACCTTGTTTCTTTGTTTGCCTGGTTCCACTCCTGCTTCCAGAATTCTTTGCTGTGCATTCTTTACAGATTCTGCTGCCTAAGTGTGTTTCCCTCTGGTAACTTGTAAGCTGAGTGTGTTGGATCCAGACTGTGAGTGGAGTGGAGCGTCACAATATCCCCCTCCTTGCTCAAGTCCTTGCGTTTGCACATTTAAAGCAGAATTACAATAATATGAAAACAATACAATAAATAATACACCCAGAAAAAATGTAAAATAGTCAACTGCCAAAGAAAATAAATAAGCAAGTGGCTATATATATCTTTGCTCCATGCAAAATCTACCCACTCCGCTTCTTGCATCGCTCCCACTCTGCACCACTCACATTAACTGGTTGGATTTTCCTGGGATTTCCCCATGTTGCTGGCTGATGAACTTCCTGATCTATATAAACTGTTCTACTCCTCTCATAGCACCATTGCGATAAGAATATACAGCATATTTGAGTAGAATGTGATCACAAGAATGTGATCAACATGGTGGAAAAAAAGGATACAAATGTTTACAAGTCCTTGGAAAGGAAAGGACTGTTTGCTGTGTGTACAATGTGTTCCATTTTCAATACATTCAACAATGAATGACAAAACATATAACATTTATTGCAGTGTATTCTTGTCCTCGTATTCGTCACAGTCCCTCTGATGTTTCCAGTCTTCCTAAGTTCCTCTGGTGTTTCCTCTTCACTTTCCTGCATAAGTCCTTGTATAGTTCATGTAAGTTCAATGTAAACCGTAAAATTGAACCATATAATTTCAGGTTTTTGGAAAAATACCTTTGTTCAATGGATCGGTGAAAGCATATGGTACAGTAGTGAAAGCATTCAATTAACAAGTTAAAATTCTCAAACTGCAAACAAACTTTTAAGTCTAATGTGTTTTGTTGGAAGTGAAACGTAACAATATTTACTCAACAAATGGTCTGACTCAGAAGGTAAATGGGAAAATCAGAAAGTAGTGGAGTCTATTACAGTGGTATGCAAAAGTTTGGGCACTTCTGTACATTTTCATGATTTTCCTTTTTAAACATTGTCAGTTAACTATATCATATAGGAGACAAACATAGTGATATTTGAGAAGTGAAATAAAGCTAATTAGATTTATGGAAAGTGTACAAGAATTCATTCATTCATCTTCTTTCCTGCTTGATCCAATATTGTTGATGTAAAAGGCATCGTTACATATAAGTAAACATCTATGAGCAGTACAAAGTAATAAATCCCGCTCATGACCTCTTTAAAGAGATCATAATGAAGAGGGCAAAAAAAAATATTTTCTTAATTAATTTATTTGTATAATAGTTTATTAAAACAATATGAATAATCTGTATGAAGAGTCTAAAGTATGTGTCTAAAAGCAAGTTTAACTAAAAAGACTTTAAGTGTTTAATTACTCGTTCTTATGCCAGCCTCAATGCAAGGGGACCAATTACTTCCAATCTTCTTCAATAGTGGCACCATAAACACTCTAAACAATGCAATGTTATTTATATGAGCACAAGGTGGCTGTTAACAGACGTTTTTAAGTGAAACTATGAAATATGTTTAATTAGCAATGTTATAGGTGACCTGCGAGACCCAAATAAAACAGGCACGTCATAGCAGACGAATGAAGGCATGAAAGAAAACCGAGGAAATGGAAGAAAAAAGGCACCAGTGATTTGTGGCTCATGGTTTTCCTCACTGCATGACATTAAAAGTAAGATAAACATTGTTGAAAGAGATATTAAACTGTGAACAAGCTTTTAAAGGCATCATGGGGGATACGATCACTTTATGAGTTTCAGAAATTTAGCTGAACATCAGTGCAGCTCTAAATTGTCCCTGAAATGACATGTTATTAAGTGATGGTTAGACATCCCGAAGCTGTTTATTGCTCAAATAAGCTGCATAGAGAAAACACTCCATTGTTATTTACATTTTACATTTAAGCATTTTTTTATCCAAAGCGACTTACATTTGAACACAGTTTTTCAGTTCCTGCATTCCCTGGGATTTGAACCCAAAACTTAGTGCAATGCTCTACCAACTGAGCCACAGGAAAGCTATCAAACAGGAAACATCTGCAAGTAATCTTGTAGATGTTGTAAGACACGATAGCAGAGTAAACAGCAACACAGAGTAAGTGGATGAATGAGAGGAAGAGGATGAATTGGAGGAAGTGAATGAATGAGAAGAGGATGAATTGGAGGAAGTATATGAATATGAGGGTGTGGATGATTGAGAGGGAGTGCATAAATGAAAGGAAGTGGATGAATGAGAGGAAGTGGATGAACGGGGGAAGTGGATGAATGAGAGGAAGTGGATGAATGAGAGGAAGTGAATGAATGAGAGGAAGTGGATGATTGAGAGGAAGTGCATAAATGAGAGGAAGTGGATAAGCGGGGGATATGAATGAATGAGAGGAAGTGGATGAATGGAAGGAAGTGCTGATGGGTAAGGGGAGGGTTTGTAAATTTAGTAAAAGTTAGCTATGATTGTAAAGTTAGCTAGTAGAAAATATTGATCTTGATACCTCTGAAAACGTGTCAAAAGATCCCAAATATTTCATTTACTATTAGTGTATATGGCAATTTAAAAAGAAACTTACAAGACATTGCAGCCACAAATCCAAGTTTCTGTTCCTGGATTGCAGTTTTTTTTATTGCAGCAATTCAATTTCACAGCAGCGTTTCCCTATGTTCAGTGTTTATGTGGGTCAAGCTCGCATTCAATGTTAGCAAAGGAATAGGCTTTTAACAAATCACTCTGTAACTTCCCAGTACTATAATGTCATGTTCATATCCTCTATAAGTGTCTACCAAACCCTCGCGAGTGTGAAATAAATGTGCAATGTTTTAAAATGCCAACACTGTCCAGAAAGTAGCCTGAGTCAACGTTGACCCTCTTTTCATTTTTAAACTGTTGGTTAGCTCACAGAAATATCAAAGCAAACATTCCCTATTTACTTTGGCACAGACTGCATTTAAACTCTTGTTTGCATGACAGAAACACTCAAATAAATTTTGTTTGGTGGCAGAGAGAGGTGGACATGAACACACATGAAAGGCAGCTGGTTAACAAGGCTCTTCAGTTGGTCAAGAGTTGACGGAAGATCATTTATGAGCGGATGACAGAGCGAGAAGCAAGAAGTGTTTTTAACTTCATTTACAGGAACTGGCCATTTCTTTTTGTTGTTTGGGAACTTTAATCCATTTTAAGCCAGCTTTTACAGCAGTTCATGACTTTATATGACAGTAGAGACCAGTTTTCAGGATCAGAGGAAAGGAATGTCCATGAACATCCAACAATCTCCGTAAATGATCCATCAAACCAAAGCCTTCATGCAGGTTTCCAGTATGCAAAGGTTTATTACTAATTTCCAGTTTCTGATAAACTGCGAAATAAAATTTATGGTGGGAAATTAGATGTCTGTGGGACCAGCACTGGAACATATGCAAATGCTGGAGACTTATATAAAATGTTGAATTGACTTCTCCTCAAAAAGAATTATTTAATGTTGAACAAAAAGTAATTTTGGAATGAATGAATGTATTCATTTAATAATTAAGTTTCCCCCCAAAACTCTACCAAGTAGAGATGTGTATTAAAAATATTTACAAAAGTTTCCAGAGAATTTCACATAAAGCTCAAAATTGTGGGGGTATATTTCTGCAGTTGGAACTGGGAGACTATAGTCAGAATTCAGGGACATATGGACTATACGATACCAGAGACTTTTTTTATGAAACCAGTTCTATAGTACGCTTGGTCTCAGACTGGGAAAATGATTTGTCTTTCAGCAGGAAAATGTTTCTAAGCACGCAGTCGAGATATTAAAGTTGTCTCTTCAATACCCATCCATGACCAGTACATCTGCACATGTGGGGGCTAAGAGTGGATCCACTTTGCGAGCTCTAGCCAAAGAGGGATACATATACAACAACTGTTGGCGAGGAGACCCATGAAAAGGAGGTCTAAAAGTACCAATTTTTAGCCCAAGACTGTAGAGAAAAGGGCTAGAAGGTGTCGAAGTTCCCTGAAGAAGTAGGGCATAGTGGCTTCCCAGCCCCTCAGCATGGCATTTATTCTCTGCTCTAGGCCTGGATGACCAATCTGTCGAGACGGGGGAAGAAGGTGAACGTGCCTCATGTTGGTTTGAAGTTAGAGAATTTTGGAGGCCAGGGAGATGCAGATGCAAGGATCAGATGAGGCATGGTGTAGGTAGAATTGCGGATCAGAGAGTAAGAGAAATGGTTAGCCAGGGAAGTGGAACAACGGTACCAGGAGGCTTGGCCAAAATGGCCAAAGAAAGTGCAGGAAAAGTGGTAAATAGTCCATCCATGTTTGAGGCATGTGAAGTGCATCAGGAACTCACAAGTCCCCCCACAGCTCTTGAGTGTAGTACATAATTATGGATATATTATTTAAATAGTAAATATATAATTATGACTGATTTTGTTGTGTTCTCGTGTTCTGAAGTTTCACCACAGCAAAAATCCGTTTTCATTTTTGTTATTCATTGCACTGTTTATTGATAAGTTTTGAAAAATACAAAGCAGTATATGATCAAAAGTATCTTTAAAAAAAATGTATTTGAAATTTGATTGCACAGTTGTAAATTGTTTATGTTGATGTTTGTTGGATGTTTTCTGCAAAATGTACATGTTTTTAATTTTTTGTCTTTGTAAATTTGAGTGTATCTCAAAAATTAAGTAATCAATTCACCCAGAATAAATTCATTGTGGTTCAAAAGTATTTTGTGCAACGGTTTTTACAATTTTGAGGGATAAAGCTATAAAATGTCTGTAGTTAGGAAAAAATATGTGAAAAAAAACTGTATTTAATTTTTTTGTGGTTTATTGTATTTTTGACACTTTCTTCAGTTGAGATTGACCTAACTCCATTATGTATGGTTAAATTCTAGGATAGATGCATGACAAATTAAAATACTAAAATACAAAAAATGGCACCATAGCAGGTAAAAATGTAAACTCTGCTCTGGTGGACTTGGTTCTTGGTTCTGTGGCTGGTTATAAAGGGTTAATACTACTGAACACACCTGAATAGCGCCATTCAAAATTGTTACCTATTCAACCTGATGGAGTTTGAGAGGCACTGCAAAGATTAATGTATAAACTACGATTCAATGAGAATAGTTTTCTATTAAAATGCAATAAACAGTATGTAATTAAAACATTTTAAACATAAATCCTGTCTGGAACAAATCTCCACAATGTTAAGGTTTCATAAGTCAGTATGTTTATATTTCTCACACACCTCTATTTCAATATTGAAAATTTTTCCAGAATTACAGTAGACAAATCTCCTGGCCTCAGCTCCCTGGTGTAGGTGTCCATTACACATCACTGAGAAGGAATTGAAAACACCTGACGAATGCGGTGGATTATGGTTGGGAATACAGCAGGCGAGAGGAGTGTCATGTCATTTACCCAAGCTCACGATTACAGAGCTGGATCATTCAGCTTGGCACCTTTTGAGAGCAGCTCCATGCAGAAACAATTATTGGTGTCATTTCAAATGTTTTAACAGCTGACTTGCTGAAAGCATGAGTGTTTGCTTTAAATGGTGCTTCTAACTGGGAAGATGACAAGCACAATACCCATCATCCCATGTGTCAGTGCCGTCAACTGAGGGTCCGAGCTCTGCCTCATTTTCTTATACTGTGTGTGTCTAGCAGGGAAAATTGATGTTTTGCTGTGTGTTTCTGTTTGACAGAGTGGAAACCAGGGGATTCATTAGATACACATATAAAAGTGTATTGTATGAAATTGGTCTGATATTGGTTTATTTGGCTGATTAACTTTTTGCTTAAAATGTTTTATGGTCAAAAAAAAATTAACCAATGAAAAATAAATATTAATTTTGGATTAATTGTTTGTGAAAATAGACTGTGAAAAACAGAACTGGTAAGAGCTTTTCTTTTGGATGAGAAAAAAAAACTTCCAAACAGTTAAATTGTGCCCATCTAGGCATACAGTGGTTTGGGCACACCTGTATATTTTCATGATTTTCCTTTATAAATCGTTGATTGTCTAGATTAGAAATTTCTGTAAAATATATCATAGACGACAGTGATCTTTTAGAAGTGAAATAAAGCTTTTATGATTTATAGAAAATGTGATAGAGTTGTTTAAACAGAATTAGCCATGTGCATACATTTAGGCACCCTTGTCATTTTATTGATTTCAATACCTTTAGCACTAATTATTAGAACTCAAAATGAACCTCAGTGCCCCTGACCTCCACACACATATGAATCCAATTATGAGAAAGTAGTTAAATGAGACAAATCTCAGATGAGCTGACAACATGAAATTTTGAACAGCATGGTTTAGGGGAAGGGTAGAGAAAGCTGCCTTTGGAGATTGAAGCTCTCTTCTAGTTCAAGTTCAAGTTCGTTTAATTTATATAGCGCTTTTCACAACAGACATTGTCTCAAAGCAGCTTTACAGTAAACCAACAAGTTTAAACTCAACAAAGAGAAAAAAATAATTAATAAGTGGTGTATTTGTCCCTGATGAGCAAGCCTGGGGCGACTGTGGCAAGGAAAAACTCCCTTTTTGGAAGAAACCTTGAGAGGAACCGGACTCAAAAGGGAAACCCATCCTCATTTGGGTAACAACAGCAGTGTGATTTATTTAAACTATGGTATAAACAGATGATATGGTAGTATGAACAGATAATGTAGTATAAACAGATGATATAATAATATTAACATAAACAGATAATATAATATAAACAGATGATGACTGTGTTCGGTGTAGGTCCAGGGGCGCCGGAACATCTCCAGGTGAATCTGGATGTTAGGTTGAGGGCTGGTGGGCGGAGCCTCCCTGCGTCGGAACATCTCCTGAGGAGTCTGGTTGTTAGGATGAGGAGCTGGACGGCGGGGCCTCCCGGAGCCTCGGGATGAGTATGGGAAGAAGAGTGGAGCTGGTGGGCGGAGGTCCAGGGGGGCGCCGGAACATCTCCAGGTGGATCTGGTTGAAGGGTGAGGTGCTGGTGAGCGAAGCCTCCGCGAATCTCAGGATGAGTATGGAAAA